GCCCAATTTGCCATCTCAGCACACCCCAGGGGTGGGACCAGCGTGAAAGGCCCTGGGATTGAACCCCAAGCACCTGCATCTTCTTGCAGGTGCTTTAATACACTGAACTATTTGGCCAGGCCATGGTTATTATTTTTGACCGTAATAAAAATCTCAAAAAATTAAAAATAAGATACACTGCTATTCTGTGCTATTAAGAATACAGTTGTTAGGGCTGGACAAATAGCACAACATATTAAAACACTGCTTAGCCAGAGCACAGGGACTGAGGTCAATCCCGGCACCAGTAAAAGTGCCGTCCCCAGCCCTGCCCCCAGGGCACACTGAGATGGGAAAATGAGGCTGAGTGTGGTGGCATGTACCTGTAATCCCAGTGGTTGGGAGACTGAAAACAAGAGGATCACTATGAGTCCAATCTGTGTAGTGAGACCCAGAAGCCCCTGTGCTAAATACATTAAAAAAATACAATTCTTGTATCAATGTGCACAATTTATAAGGTCTATTCACATATTCTTCTGGAACTAAAAATTATACCTCATAATCATAGTGTAAAAGTCACAATTGGAATTGCATTATTTATGAGAAAGATTTGTAAATATTTCTAGGACTAAATTTATAGCTACTTTCTGTCATTCTGATATGCTATCTGCATCATTTATTTTACTTTTTTCTCAGCTGTAAAAATAATTCATTATCTGTTTCATAAAAAAAAAAAAAAACAAAAACATTATATTAGGGCCAGGGAGATGGCTCAGTAGAATAAGCAATTTCCTGGCCCATGCAAGGGCCTGAATTCAGTCCCTGGTTCTGAAAAAAAATTGTTAATCTCAGTTTTGAGACCTAGTAACTTTCAGATGAGGACAACATCAAACAAAGATTTAGAGTCGGGTTGGAGTCCTAAATTTCCTTTCATAAATGTGGAGCTTTACACCTTGCTGTAAACCAATATTATAAAGTTCTGTGTTTACATTATTCTAAAGGTAGAATGAGACAAAATGCATGAGTATAATTTTATATCATACTTTGTAATTTAGTGTTATTGTATTTTACTACTTCTGAACAATTTACTATTGGAAATTATGTCGATGTAGCAATAACATGTTCAATATTATTGATAATTTTTTCTTTAGTCTGTAATTATATTATGAAAATTCACTGTCTGTAATATATTTGACATTTGTGTAGAGATACATAGTCTTTATCAAACATTCATCTTATCTGTACACACTTCTTATTCATAGTAATTGACTGAGCTTGTGTTCTAATGAAAAAATTATTAAAGGATTTGACAAGTATGTTTTATTTTAAACCAGGCTTTTCTAAAACCATTCATTTTACTATTTATTTAACCATAAAGATTTTTGGATGGCAAGTTGCTTGACATCAACAAAGACTTTCAGCCCTATTATGGGGAAGGAGGTCGAATACTGGAGATCCGGACACCAGAGGCGGTGACCAGCATTAAAAAGAGAGGAGAAAGTTTGGGCTACACAGAAGGGGCTTTGTTGGCCTTAGCCTTCATCATCATCCTCTGCTGTATTCCTGCCATCTTGGTTGTATTAGTCAGCTACCGACAGTAAGTATCCAGTGTGCTAAGCATGGGTGGCTTCTCAAGAAAAGCAGTCTGTCATAATTGCTTTGCAGTTCTAATAGTACCTCGATAGCGCCAGCACTCAACGTTTGCTTGAGTGTTCTGAATTCTGTTCTCCAAGATAACAGAAGGTGATACAAATTCCCCATGCAGTGCTCCAAACTGCTCTGGGTCCCTGTGCTCCTGTCTGCTCTCATTCGCTAGTGTCAGATTATTTTTTGTTCATTTTCTTCTTATTCAGAGGTTCTAGGAGAAGGTTATTGGTACAGTGAAGGAAAATTAATGGATTTGCTACTTTGTCCTGATGGTTTTATCCATACAACTTCATTGAGCTCTCTGAGGGTTACTAAGTCATTGTAAAATCGCAGTACACCTCACATGATTGTCGGTGTGTGCTCTTCCTGAGTAGCTTCAGGGCTGGTCTTGTAATATCTGATCCCTGTGATTATATATATATATATATATATATATATATATATATATATATATATTCATTTCTTATACTCAGATACTTCCATTTACAGTGTCAGCGTATTTGAAAAGTTTAACCTTGTTCCTTTGAAGTAATGTAGTAATTATAACTATTTTAAACACTTACATTTCATGTGGGCAGGGGCTTGCAGGTTAGCTCAGTTGTTTAAGTGCTTGTGCAGGAAAACTCAGGCTCAGAGGACCTCAGTTCGATCCCCAGCTCCAGATGCCTGATAGGACCTGCAATTGAGGCAGCCTGAGCCCGCACAAAAAAAAGAAAAGAAAAGAATAAAATATATATATTCTTATGTGGACTATTAATACACTTTTCTGAAATTAGGTATGGAAAACCTTGTGATTGTAATTGAGGTTTACAGAATTTAAATGCATCTCTATTGATGAGTCAAAAATAAGAAGGTGGTTAAGAAGAGAGGTAGATATGAGGGTGCTATAAAAAGAAACTATAAGTGACATAAATTACTGAATATAATGAATGTTAAGAAATGTGGTACAAATTGTGTTCTTTGCCACGTGAAAAACCCACAGGAAAAGTGTGGAAATATCTCTCAGCACTTTGTGTGTGGATTATTTGTTTTTAGTTCAGTAATCACTTCAGTTCTCTGTGAATTACTTTAAACTCTGAGTTTGCATAGATTAAGAAAATTGAATGAATTTTGCTTTACTTATACATCAAAGAAAAATCCTAATATTTAAAGATCTAACATCTGCACCTTTCTATTTTTCCTGCATAGAAGATATAAATGGTTTTTATATAATGATATGTCTTTGAAATTTGTTACGTATGAAAGACTGGGAAACAAAAACAAAGAAAAGTGTCATGAATTTGTTACCCAAGAGAGGTACCTTCTAGTTTTCCCTTTAGCTTCAAAGAGAGGCCAAGAACATAATCAGCGCTTGCTGCAGGACTAATTGCATTCCTTTAATATTCTTCAAGCGAAGCTAACCAACAAGCCAATTATAAAGATGAGAATATCTTTAATTTTCCTCTTCTCCATTAGAATTGAAATTCACATTAACATGTTTTAATCTAGATTTTCTTATTACATTAAGTTCTTTATTTTTCTGTAATGATTGTTTTAAGTTTGTGTGTAATGCTAACAGTAAGGCGCTGCCTATTTTCACTTTTGAAATTGAAATACTTAGTTTTCCTAGTATGTTATTAACTCTGTGTCATTATGAGTTTAACTAGTAAATTATTCATAATTTAAAATAAATCCTATTTTACAATATTATGAGTGCCATATTTCTAATTTATCTTTCTGTTTTTTTCCTGTTCATTGCTTTCCTATAAAGATTTAAAGTGTGAGTATAATTATGACTACTTTTTCATGATTTTATGTAATAGAAAAAGAGGAAGTGTAAATCACATAGATCCGATAATTATCCTATCTAGGACTATACATCACTTGTTTGTTAGGTATCTATAACAGTTACATACTTTTTGTCTCTCTCTCTCTCTCTCTCTCTCTCTCTCTATATATATATATATATATATTTGAGCTGAACTTAGATATAATTGGAGGAAATATGAACTCGTGTGTCCTAATAATTTCTGTACTTAGAAATCTTGGTATTTGGGCTGGGGTGATAGCTCAGAGGTCAAACTGCATGCCTGGAAGGCACAAGGACCCATGGTTGAGCCCCCAAACCACATGCTGTACCAGCCCTAGAAACCAGGCGTGGTGGTGCATGCCTATAATCCTAGTGGTGGGGAGGCTCAGAAAAAAGCATCACTGTGAGTCTGAGCTGTACAGTGAGACCTTGTACCAAAATAAATGAATAAATAGAAATAATTCCATATTTAAAAAATAAAGAAATCTTGGTTTTGAGGCAGGGATTAACAGTCAGTGACAATGGTTTTCAAGTATAGCACGTGAACTCTTGAATAAGAATGGCAAATATTGATAGGAGTGAAAATTAGATAAAAACTGAAAAAAAAATCTCCCCTCTAATGAACACAACCTCTGTAAAGCAATGTGAATAATATTAAAATATTTGCTAAATGAAGTGACTTTTCTGAAGATAAGCAAATAATAAAGAGAAATTAACGTCAATATGCCTCATTTTATGAAAAAGATTCATTAAGCAACTCCCAATTATTCTTCACATTTTCTAATTTACTTAATGTCTTTAACTGACAAAAATTGAACACTATTTCTAGGGTAAAATTTGATGCTACAATATGTGTATTTTTTGTGTAATGCTTAATTCAAAGTAAACATGACATTATTTAAGCATATAGTTTCTGAGTGTAAATGGTTGAAATCATTTCTTTTATCTTTTTTGAAAATGTACACTACAGTATTGCTATCTATAGTTACCTGTTATTATTTATGTACAGTCAAGCGAAGGTTTCCTGACCATAATTTGCATAGTATCAGTAATTTACAAATATTTCCGTGGATTTGAACCTTCTTCATGGAGTCAATATTTTAAAGAAGGGGGGCCGTGTTTTACTTAAATGGTACTCTGAAGACGAGTCTGTCCTTATTTCAGTTTTTGGAGTTCAGGTTTCTTTCAGTCCCTGTGACACCTGGGCTTCCTTATGGAAAGCTAGTCTATTGTTACGTGCATGACTTCTAAGATGAGTTTTACAAGATCCTCTTCCTCTACCCAAGACGCCAAGCCGAGTGCACCAAGACGGCGCGAATTCAGTCTGCTTTACCTGCTGCCAAACCTGCAGCGCCGGCCCCCGCTCCCATGGCGGCGCCACCTCCCCCGCCGCCCCCGCCAGGCGCGCACCTCTACGAGGAGCTTGGTGACAGCGCAATGTAAGTCCCCGGGAAACCCCAGTAGGTGGGTTTTGGCGGGAAGCTGCGTGGTGAGTTCGATTCCTGCCTGATGTCAGACTTTCTTAAAACACAAACTTAAGGCGAGAATTTAACAGATTGAATAGTCAAAAATCAAATGCATATTAAAATTAAGAGAAAATTAGCATTCATTTGAGGGAACAATTGGAGATACTTAACCAGAATATCATGCTTATTTTCTTAACCTTCATGTTTAGCCATTTTTCCAAAAATATGTCTTAAAACATGTTTTCCTTAAAAAAAAAAAAAAAAGTTTTCTTTCTTCGTTTTCTCATAGAGGATGAGAATAGAGCACAACATAAAATATTAATTTCTCATTTGGACTCAAAATCAAACCCCATTCGGTGATCAAAGCCAAATTTTACAGTTTAAAATTATAGACTTTTGTAAGACATCTTCTAAGATATTGTGTAATATTATAATTATAATCAGAATAAAAATAAAGATTCTATGTACTAAAAGCACAAGGACATACAGAAATCCTTTTTGGCAGAGAACTGATAGCTATCATGAGCCTAATCAATTCGAACCATACATTTTAAGACCATCAACTTATTGAAAGTCTTCACAGCTCTTGCTGCTGAATGACGCTACCCACAAATTTCACTCTGTTTGGTAATGTTGAATTGTCTGTATTTTTAAACTTCTCAGGCATTTGATGTCTTAAAGTAACCACTCTCTTTACCAGCACCCTTGTTAAAAAAGTAAAGAGTCTTGTCAAATTGTACATATAGCTAGAGTAAATTCAGAAAACTTATTATTAGCTGAAATTTGGTTAAGTCAAGATATTTAAGCATATTTTTATATACTTAACATTTACTAGTTGGAGTAATGCAAGCCTAAGAAACCATGAATTGCACCTTTTAATGGAAAAACTGGTCTAAACAGATGGGATAACATCATTTGTCATACTAATAATATTGTATAAGACTATTTAGATAAACTTAGTAATGTTAAAACTGATAATCTCATTCTACCACTAAAACCGAATTTATAACAAAGTCTACTGCATGCCACTCTATTTCTAAAGTAATAATTTAATGTAGAATTCATGCTTTAAACTATTTCTCACTTTTTTCATCAGTTGAAATAATGATCTCTTTTTTGAATTATTGGTGAATGTAGGAATTGAGCCAATATGATTTGATTATGTTAACCACTTCCCCCAACAATAATGCTTAGAAAGTAAAAAATCATAATGTGTAAAATTAAATGTGTTTATAAATGAAGTCAATGAATGCCATATATTCATTTTAACAAAAACAGGCATAGTGTAGCATTGTTTTGGAGTCAGTTTGTTGATATTCATTTTAGTTACCCTTAAGTACTAGTTTCACTTGAAAAGATTGTAGCAGACTTAGTAGATTTTATAATTATCTGTGTTATAGTGTTAATGTTCTTCAGATTTGTTTATTTTATCTTTAAGAGATGTTTGCATATTTCAAAGCCTTAAAGCAATTCTAATGATACATTATTATAAAATGAACTAGCTACAAATGAATTATCAATTATCAAAAAGAAAATAGTCTATGATGATTTTTAGATCAAAAATATGAACGAAGTCATTAATGAGTTTCATATAGACTCAGCGTTTACTCTGCAGGATGATGACAGTACCTGTGTGTTTGCTTTTACCCAAGCAAAATAAATCTGTACAAATTAGTATAAGGCAACAAAAATTTCAGAATTAAAAACCAGAAGCAATTATCAATTACATCTAATATTTCCATTTCAGAATTGAAATCTTCCACATTTTGCAGAGTTGAATTTTACATATGCATAATGTATATAGATTGCTAGCTATTAGATATAATTTTATTGATATGACATCCAACTATTAGCATATAACTTCTAAAACAATTTAGAAAATTATGCTCATGATTAAACAAAAATGAACTTTTAAAGCCATGCATTTCTTCTTAGATGTACATATCGTTTGAAGCAGCTTCCTGTTAATAATCTCGAAATCCTCTCAAATTAACTGTAGTTAAAACTTTTCTTTTTCTATCACATGTTTTCTCTTTCTCACCTGTGGATACATAGGCATGAGTAAGTAAATAATATCATTCTAATACAAGGGTATTAGAAAGTAGATGTAATAAAATAGATAAAATGTTATTTTATCTTAAGCACAGTAATTATATTTTACCAGTGTCATTTTGTTTAAAAGAGAAAGTTTCATGGTCCCTATCAATTTTCTTTGATGTCTTGAAAGAAATGGCATGAATTTAAAGCAGACATTTCCAGTAATGTTACTTATGACTGCCATGGAAGGTTTCAAATTGCTCCTTGTTTTAAATTGGATAAAAGTACTTACAGATGTTTTTCAATCATAAATGATGTATTATCATTAATTATTATATCACTTTTGCCAAGAAAAATCAAACCAAGAACAGCTATATGCAAAACAATGATAAATTATTTTAGACATATTAAAAATAACTTTATGAGATCTGGACAAGTAAAAATATTTGCTTTCTGATTTTTTCTGTATGCTCACTTTATCTGAATTCTTCAGATAGGCCTAAAAATCCAGGAATGCCTGTGAGAACTCCATTTTAGAGTTTGTATCTGCCAAATTGCAAATTAACAGTTTTAAATTCATAAATTATTTAAGTGACTAATAAATTATCCTAATTTTTCAATGTGACTACTTAGCTTTCATTCAAAGTATTTTACTTTTATTATCATTTCTACTGAGTGGATAAAAGTAAATAGTGGCTAAATATTTTATTCTTTCTGAGCTTGAGAGCAACCAATGGGTTTAGGAGGAAGGAACCCAATCCTTTTCATAGAAAATCTGTGTAGTTGGGCTTCTTCGATTTCTTTTATATCTCATAGCTCTTTGTGAGCAAAACCTTTGATGATATCAAGACAATATTATTTTAATAGAAATACTGTCATTAAGGGAACTCTTGATGAAAACTTGATCCTGGTCATATTTGAAGGAAATACCAAAAGCCTATCTGTTGTTTTGTATAATGTATAATATTTTATAACTGATTAAGCATTAAAATTTACACAAAATTTTTAGTTTTATTTAGGACCATGACCATGACCTAAAGTTACTTTATCTATTGTAATTTTGCATGCTGCGAAAAAAAGCTATTTCTTTGTATCCTTGGAGCTGTGTTTGCTAACCTTGGTAACAGAATATCACATTCTATATTCTCTTGCAAATTTTATCTCAGATTAGAGAGAACTTGTAGCTCCAATACAAAATTATTGAGATTAGATATAGTGGACAGGAACTGATTTTGATAGAGCCAAGTTTCTCTTATGCCTAAGAGTCAACTTCATCCATTCTTAAGCAAGACCAAAATGTGAAATCAAAGGTCAAGATGCATGTCTGCATATGGAAAATGTGATTTGTATGTGACTAGAATGTTCTGTGGAAACTTGGCTATATCAAACTAACTCAAAAAAATGAATTTAGAACTTGATAAGTTTCTAAAGGAAAATTGCTCATGTTACAACTCTCAAGATTTCTCTGCCTTGTCTTATTGAGAATAGGGTCTTGAAAGTCATGTTTTGGTTCAGGTTGTTTGGCCTTTTGTATTTTGAAGTAGAAATAAGAAGCATAGAAACCCCTTTCTCAAGAAAACAATGTCTCAATGTGTTTCCTTACATTTCATTATCTTCTTTTCTTTCAAGTCTTTTCCTTCTCTACCATTTTGAACAAAGCAGGGGAAATAACTCAGTCTCAGAAGACAGGAAAAGTCAGCCAGTCGCGATGCCCTTTTCTTCTAATACCGTTGAGGTTCACAAGCCAGCTCACATAGACGGATCATTTAAAATCAACCAACCAAAGCCTCGAAGAAAATTTGCATTTCTATCTGATGAGGACAACTTATGTGGCCATGACCCACTTTATAAGGAAAATGTAGGTCAGAGATCAACAAGTTCAGATACTACACTGAGAACAGATTTGGAAAACCCATTTTTACCTCAAACACAAGTTAAAAGTCAGTCTCTGAGGGGCCCCAGGGAAAAGATTCAGAGGATGTGGAATCAGCCAGTCAGCTTACCTAGGTCTCTGATGTGGAAAGTTCCAAGGAGAACAGAAACCATAGATCTGGTGCACTGGCAGGCCACCTGGCAAAAAGGTGCAAAGGAAAACACTGGACCATGTCCAACCAAAGACAGCAGCAATCCATTCCTTACAGATGAAGGAGAGCATTTGACAGAGGAAGAAGAAACAAGGCCAGGAATGTCACTGATTTCTCAAGAAACAGAGCAGTTGAGATCTCTGTCTTCAAACTCTTCCTTTTCCTCTTCTTGGTCTCACTTCTCCCTGTCCACTTTGCCAAGTATTTCAAGAACTGTGGAACTCAAATCACAACCTAACGTCATCACCTCTCCTGATGACTGTTCCTTGGAATTTTCTTCTCCAAGGCCTTGCATCTTAAATTCTCAGGTCTTTAAGAGAGAGACAAGCACTTGTTTGTTAGATGTTGAAACCCCAAAGAACAACTGTGAAAATCTTTCCCGTCCACCTAACACCTCTCCTTCATCTCCTTCCCATCGCCCTCTGTCTCTTCTCCCTCCTTACTCTCCAGCAACTCCTTTCCTTACCACTTCTCTTTCTTTTCCTCCTTTGCCTCTGTCAAACCCTTGTCTTTCTCTCTCTTCATTTCTCCCACTTTCCACCCCTCCTTCTACTCCATCTGTTTTTTCTTCATTTTCTAGTGTTCCCCCACCACCTCTTCCTATTCCTAGTCCACTGCCTCCTTCAAACTCAGTTCTGCCTGCACAGAATGTTTGTACTCCGGTTGTTAAATGCACTACCACCATGACACCTTCCAGAGAAAAGTTTCCTGTGACACAGCTACCAACATCAAAAGCAGTATGTAGTGCAGAGCCCAAAAGAGAACCAAAAGGTGTTCTCAAACATATAAAAAACTTAGCAGAACTTGAAAAATCGGTATCTAACATGTACAGTCAAATAGAAAAAAACTATC